GTATTTGTGAAGTTAGAAAATATTCAGAGAATAATTAATAGAAGAAATGCATCTTAAGATCAGAAGTTACTTACAGTTTCAAATCTATTAAACTCTGACATCTTCCTTCTTCAGCCTTCACTTGTCACGATCACGGTGCCACAGTCCTTCAGTATGCACCAAAACATCAACTGCTCATTTCTGGAGGCAGGAAGGGATATATCTGCATCTTTGACATCAGACAGCGGCAAACCCTTTACACCTTCCAAGCACATGAATCAGCTGTTAAGGCCCTTGCACTGGATCCGTCTGAGGACTATTTTGTGACAGGCTCAGCAGAGGGCAACATGAAGGTAAGACAGCAGAGTATGGAGCTGAAGGGATGTACTGACATGTGTTGGTCACCATGCTGGAAGCTGCCATATGAATGCAGTAACAAAACAAAAACAAACTGAAAAAACCCAAACCTACCTTTGCTATACAGGATGCTTGCCCTACATTTATAATGTAAACTTCAATATACTAATATCCTTCTAAAGCAAGTAGGTTTTGTTCCTCACTGAAGAAGATTAAACAGTATTTTTAAAGTTGTGGGACTGACTTTTAAGCAAAGTGCATAAAGCAAAGTGCATGATTCTGAAACCTTCGTTTTATTTTTCCTCTTAAAAATGCTCTGGTTTTGCCTTTGGATATTTCTCTTTATAATATAAGGGATGCTCAGTAACTTCAACATCATGTAAAATTTCTCTAACACCGAGTTCTGTTTTCTTGCTGCTGTAGCCCCAGACAGCTGCTATGGATGTCACAGCAGCAAGAAACAAACAAAAAATCCCCACAAAACAGAAATGCAGTCCCTGTTTTAAAGGATGTATTTCCTGAGCAGTAAAAGAAGGAGATAAAAGAGCATGGTAAAGACAAGGAAAATACAGGGTTTTTTCCTTCTAGCTGCACTGCACACTGTTTAATGGGTGCTTTCTGTGCTGCTGCACACTTTGTGGCCTAGTCTTGAGGAGAGCTTCTGCAACTTGCCAGATAGCTGAGACAGCTGTGCAGGCTTATTCATTATGCTGCTTACTCTGCAGCAGTCCCTGGCAGAAAAGCACTTCCAGCTCCTGGAAAGCTGGCAGGAGTCATCTTGGGTAAAAAAAAATCCAACCTGTCCATTTCTGCAGCTTCCATGGGGGGAAGCTGCCATAAGCACAACTGAGCAGGTAATACCAGGCAGCTTCAGCCTGGCAAGGAACCAAGTGGTCCACACTGAGGTAGTCTTACACTGTCTTGCTTCATCAGGAGCCTCTCAAGACTCTTGGAATTGTTGTAATTGTTAATAGACAAGAAAAAATATCCTTTTTCTTTGCTGAATAGGGTTTGGAACAGCCAGAAATCTGAAACAGTAGGGGAAAAAAATACAAATCCTAATTGTAATCTCTTTTTCTCATTTGCCCTTCACAGGTGTGGAGACTGACTGGCTATAATTTAATTCATTCATTTAAAAATGAACATGCTAAGCAGTCCATTTTCAGAAATATTGGTGCTGGTGTCACCCAGATTGAAACAGTGCAAGGCAATCGTATCTTCTCCTGTGGAGCAGATGGCACGCTGAAAATGAGGGTTCTTCCCAATGCTTTCAATGTACCTTCAGGCATTTTTGACATTCTGTAGCACTAAGTGAGCTAATCCTGGTTTTATATAATGTCCCTTTAAGTAGATAAAATGGTGGTATGCACCATGGAAAGAGAAGTCTGTTTCCTTTCAAAGCAGTTGCTGCAGCATTAAGTATTATGGGGAAAAATAAACCCCTTTACAACAGGTATATTTTGAGTATGCCCATAAGGATCACTGGGGTGGAAATGCATGTACTGTAGTGTAAAAGCAAAGAGTTCAACCCAGTAGAGTCATTCCTTGGCTGGGCTATTGCTCAGTAACCCACAAGCTGCATTTAGTAAGTACATTGTAAAGATTCTGACAACTGTCAGTTCCTTAACAAGCACTGTGGTTCTACAAGTCAGCAAGCATTTCTGATGTGATTCTGATTATTTTTAATCCATTTCTTCCCACTAATTGAAGCATGTGTACGACTTCTCATTGTAAAATAGTTTAGTTTTAATTAAGGGTACTCAGTGTATTTGATTTTTGCAAGAAAATGTAATGGATGCAAATGCCGTGGAAATGTGCAATCAAGAACGTACTGTGAGACGTATCATTTTATGCTGAGATTTTTTTTCTCCACTTAGTATTAATACATAGTTGATACTGAACCTTGCACATCAACACATTTTTAAATGCAATGTGTTGTTTGGTTTTTTTTTAATTTGCACACTATTTTCCTTTCTTTGGGACAGCTATGTTTTCTATTGGACACCTGCCTTTACTTTAGGAATGTATTGTAAGCACTTAATGTTTGTAGTGAAGACATCCATGATTCTAGTCAGCTTTTAGTTTTGATATTTGTTTGTCCAGAAAATATTTCATTAAATGAAGCTGTTAAGAGGATACCAATGGAACGTACAGTGCCACATTTCAGATGAATGTCAGGCTTTATGTGGCCAGCTAGTAAATAGTAGATAAAACTGGTAATTAAATTGTTACCACGGTATATTGTATAAACTATGCAGAGTTCAATATTGTTTGCTTGTAATATAACTAGCTACTGTTGTCAGATGTATTTTTATGTTGTAAACACAAAACATGTCCATAAGAGACTGGAACAGATGTCTGCATATTTAAATGTTAACAAACTGTCTCATTCCTCCAATGAAAATTTTGATGTCTGTGCTGTATTGTAAAATATACTGAAATAAAAAGCACCTTTCACCAAAGGTGATTTTAAAATGCAGGCTGTGAAGTATGGGAAGTATGAAAAGAAAGAAAAGTAAATGTCATTCTTTAATTTTTCCTTTGTAAGTTAAATAAATTACTTTTATTTCACGGAACAGTCCATTCCAGAACCTTGCCTTATATTTAAATAGCTTTAACTAAACCTCCAGTGGATTGACTGGATCCTCCCTGAGCTCACTTTAACTTGACCTCTGACTATACTGAAATAAAAAGCATTAGCTGTTTGCATTTTATTTTCAGCTGTCCTAGAAAAACATGAGGTTAACAGCATTTAGTTCTTCCTTGCCAACAGAGGCAGCTGCAGGAAACACAGCCCAGTTCTGTCACTGGGCGAAGAGGCAGAATTTGCAGGCCCTTCTTCTGCAAGAGGCTGATCTGAGTGGTTCAACACTGACATTCAGAAGTGGAATGTGATTTAAGATAGGCACATTATCTAGAAACAGTCACATCTGGCTTGAACTGTACTTGCCCAAGTCCATTGCTAAGCTTTTGGGTTTTTTAAAGCCAAAATTGCTTCATTAGTATCATAATTCAATATGTGAAAAACACCACCAAACAAAACAAACAAACAAAAAAAAAACACACAAAAAAAACCTACCAGCAAAAAAAACCAAACCAAACCAGCACACCACATCCCACAGAAGTCACAAGAAGCCCACGTACACAACTCTAGCTCTGGACTGTGAAGTTTTGCACTCTTTGTAGGTATACAGAGAATTATTGGTATGTGAGTTTTGATGTATATATTAGCTCAAAGTATTAATTATGCTTCTTTGTTTCCTTTTGTGTCTCTCTCCTTAGCATGCAAGGCCTGAATCCTGGCCTTAGTGAAACCTGCAATATGCTGAGAAGACACATAGATATTCCCAAATCCATTAATCCCTTTGACAATGCCTGGATGGCACACCAGGTGTTCAACAGGTCAGTGCAGTTTAGGATTTATGTGGTATTTGCTTCTAAATAGTTGGATGAACTTTGTCAACTTTACCAGTATTCACAGACAGCTCAGAAATTCAGGTAGGGGTATTTTTAAGAGCGAGATTTTGAATACAGAGACACAAAGCAACCGTGGGGATTCATGTTTCAATGTTAAATTTAGAAATCTGAAATACCAGACCAAAACTAAATTCAAAGAGTTATCATTATTTCTTACATTTAGCTCTCAAAAATTCAAATGTGAGTGGGCAACCTCTGAATTAAGAACAACAGGAAATTTAGTCACTAAGCACTGTAGAGAACACAGGCATTCTTACTGCAGATATTTTCTTTTTCTAAGAACAGCAAAAAAATATACTATTTATGTTTTCATATCTATGGATGAAAGTGGGGAATTTTTTTTAGAAATACACTTTAATTAAGTATAGTTATATGCAAGTTGTAGTGATATAGTTTACATGGCAGTGAGGGGCAAGGAAGAGTCAGTAGCAACACAAGCAATTCAAACACTGTTAAAAAGGGAATTTTAATAATAATTTTTACACCTACAGTTTTATACCTCATTACTTTTCTTCCCATGGTCCATTTACTAAATATAATTTCATATATATATAAAATTTAATAACACTATTATTTTCTTTTTCCTTGTACTTAGGCTAGGTTTTGCTTTTGATTATGTAACAGTTCACTGAACTTGGCAAATTTGAAACTTCCTGCTTTTTTTCTATTTAAACAGCTATTTCCATCTCCATTTTTTTTTTAACAGTTGTACACGTTTGCAAAAAAAAAATGTTCACAGAATCAGTGGAAAGTAGTAAGTGAAACTGACAAAGGTATTTGTATACAAAGGTTCATTATTTAGACATTTCTACTAGACCATAATGACTAACTAGGAAATGATTGCAGATAAGATGATTGCAACTGAAAGTTATAAATAGACTGCTGAGCACGTGACCATGGAATAATCAATGTACATTAGATCTAATGATCAGCTGAACAATAGGGGGGAAACAAAAGCAAGGCTGTGCTGCTTGCCAGCTGCAATGCTGAACAGCTCAGTTTTTTAAAAGACAAGACTGGTGTTTATAATGGAAGTGTTTTGATGCAAAGGCCCCTGTCTCCCTTTATGCACACTCACAAACCACCAGCACTGAACAGAAAGTTATACTGAGTGAAGAGACTCCCATGAGTGTATCATACAGCTTTAAATACTCTTTGTAGTCAAACATGGCTCCCAAACATAACACTTTAAAATATATTCATCTGCCAAAATGTACAGGGTATATCATTAAGCTCCCGTTCTCCCAAGTATACAAATTCTTATCTCTAAGACTGTATGAAAGCATAGCAAGAACGGACTGTGAAGACCGTAACTCAAACCTTGCATCAACCTGCTTCTCTTTCAATAAATCAAAAGCAAAACTTACTGTCATGTCCTTGGTATCAGTAACATACATGATGCCACATGCTATGAATGCATTACCAGCCTTGGACTTGGGATAGGTGGTGTTGATATGCCGGGTGACTGAAAAGCTTTCCTCATCAATATGTGCTACTATTATATTTTCATCAGTGCTCGAGGCATAAATGATCCAAAGACCCTTCTCATCCACTGCTATGTTGAAATATGTCTTTGAGTTAGAAAAGAGGTAGTTACGACCATGATATAAGGCATTTTCAATGAGCAGTGTGCCCAATGATGCTGTGTCAAGCCCAAATCTGAAATGAGAGAAAGGATTAGGATGTTGTGTTAAAAAGTCTTTTTTTTTTTTTTTTTTTTTTTTTTTTTTTTTTTTTTTTTTTTTTTTTTTTTTTTTTTTTTACACACTGGTTGGGTGAATCAATTCAGAGTGCATTAACACTGATAGAAGCATTGTTGAAAATACTTGAGTTTGAGGACTACTCTGATATCTTTTAAGATGAAGTACTCCACTCAAAGCACCTTCCAAAACACTAGGAGAAAATTCCAGAGTAATAACCAATCTCAAAGGTGCACAAGAGCATGAACTTGCTTTGGAAAGTTTCACTTTATTTAGTCTATGAGCTTTATTATCACTAGGATGAAAGAAGCAGCTAAAAGGAATAGATATGAAAAAGAATTAGATACCAGGTGAAGGCCTAAAACTTGCAAAACAAAACTCTGTACAGAAGTTTCCTTTCTACTAGGCAGGAACTTAAGGGAGAAACTGTAATTGACCAAACCAGCATGAATTTTGGGCAGGTTCACCTAGTCTTAGAGTTCCTCTTCTGAAAACAATTCAGATAAAGAAGTGACCTGCTCAAATAATAATCAAAGGAATAAAAATTCTAGTTTCCAGAGCCAAAATTCTGACCTCATGCTGGCCTCCAGCAGGACAACCTATGTGTCATCTCCAATGAATAAAATTGTTTCTAGTCCTTAAAATTCCTTAATGGGATGATAGTCTGAGGACAGCAGCATTAAGCAGGTAAATTGAGCTCCTCTAGTAGCTGAAGAGGACAATCAGCTGCTATCCAGATACATCTGCAGTTAGCATTTGATCAATGAAGAAGGCAGTGCTTCAATAAAGGGCAGAGCACAGATGCTTTGCCCTCCTCAGTAAAGCCTTCTGTCATGAAGCACATTTCACTGACTGCTACCTGACTGTAGAGCTCCAGCCTTCAAATAGAGGAAAAACATCACTCAATACAGGAATCTGCCACAATTACAAAAGTGATCTGAAAAAATAAGGTTAATGACAGGGTCAGTTTAGAGCCAAGAACTTACACTAGAAGAATAACTTTTCTGTGCAAGAGGTGTTGACAGCATATGCTGGAAAAATCATGGTAAGGAAAGGCAAGAATGGATAATGAGATGATTCCCCTCAGCTTTTGTAAAACTCATAGCTGCAGCAAGTCCATATTCCAGTAGCATGTACGTGCAATATAAACAACACTTCAAGGCTGGAGAAGATGTCTGAGTAATTTGTGTCAACCCAGTTCATCTTGTTAGTTCCTTCACATTTGCAAATGAACTCACTCAAGGGCAAGGGCTAGAAAGACAGCCCTTAGCATGAACAGTCCTATAGAAATGCAATTTTCTTCAGGATTTTTTTTTTTCTATGAAGAGCCAACAAGATAAAAAGCATATCAAGATTAATTAGAAATGTGCAAGATCTGCAACACAGAACATCCTGCCTTTTCCTCCTAAAGGGAGAAGAAAAGTGAGGTTTTGTTCCTGAGGTTCTCTTCCACTGCCCCAGTCAAGGACAGGCTAGTCTGGAACTCCAAATGGTTCATAAATTCCTTAATTTTCTGACACCTTAGGGTAAATTACAAGATACCTGCTTTTCCCATTAAATCAATACAAAAACTCCCAGAAGTTTTTCTGCTGCCCAGAATCAAGGACTTCACTGTCACAGACTTCATAGTACCTCATCCTGTCTGTGCTGGAGGTAACTAATCTTAGTGAGTAACAACAGAAAAAGCCATCTCTCAGCAGCTTCTTAGAGAGGGTTTGAAGATTCCACAAATAGTTTGTGTTCATGTGTAAGTGAAGGCATCTCCCAGTTAACAGTACCAAAGCAAAGGTGAAGAACCTCTGTCCTATCACTGTACATTGCTTAGAAAGAGATGGTCTTTTACAGATGTATAAACAAAAAGTCCTTAAGATGTTTAAAGGAGGTTGCCAAAAAGCAGGCATGTCTTTGGCAGAACGAATATTATAGAATCCAAGCAGCTTGCTCACATTCTTTGGCATCCAAATGAATATAGGAAGCACTCACACCTGCTTGGGAAGAGACATCAAAGTATAGCAATGTTCTTGGCTTGAACATCAGAGTCATGTAAGAGAACTTGAAAGCAGATGCTATCTTTCATTTGTCCTTGGACTGTTTCTTTGGCTCTTCCCACAAGATGAGATTTGGGTTTTATTTGTATTGTCTTTATGCTCAGTAGAAACTGAAGAAAGAGATGTAATTCCCAGTTCCAATCCAGGGAGATATACTGCGAGACTTGTAGGAACTTCTTATTATGAGCCAATCAAACCGTGGAGCCGCTCCTTCACTAAGGAATGTGCAGATCACCAGGTCGCCATGTCCTCAGCTGGTGCCTCAGTGCATTCCTCTGCAGGAGCAGCATTAACCCCATCTCTCCCAGCTGAGAGCTGGGCTATCCCAGAGCACAGCCTGTGCATCAACCCAACCAGGAGCTCTGGAAAGCCAGGTTCCACGAGTGGGCTGCAACCATATAACCACCCATCTGTGTCCCCCCAGAATTACAGCTGAACTGATACCTACTCTGATGCAAGTAGTTGCACAGCTTATTTTTCTAAATCAAATACTTCTTTCTGACCCCCAAATTCCTTAGTGAGTTCCCATTTCTTTCTTGCAATTCTGAGCACAGCAAAGAATCCAATTTCAAGAAACAGGCAGGTCTAGATAAGACCAGAAGGAAACATAAAACTACAAAGAAAGCAGTGATCTTCTCTGAGGTGCACCTCTTGTCACTCAAACCCATTGCTCCTGCTTTCCACAACTCCACTTTCCAAAAGCCAGCTGTGTTTGACTTACCTTAGAATGACATTGGTTCCACCTTTTTGATAGTACAGGTGATTGTTTTGTACTGCATGACCACATCCATAAAAGAATCCTGTGATATTAATGATCCTGTAGGTGTCATTCAGCAAGGCATTGGAGTTCCCGTATTCTTTTATGGAGTTTCCTAAATGAAGGGGAAAATGTGAAAAAAAGGAACATCATTTGGTTCACTTAGTTTTGAAATCTCTACCCTAAAATTCAGTCTGTACTGCCAGTCAATCTCAAATACCAGACAGATAACAATTGTGTTAGTGATTTCATCAGTGATTCATTTTGCTGGAATGTGATAAAATAATCCAGAGACAAACACCAAAAAAGCATAGAGGTGTTCACAGGCCTGCTTCCCACTGACCTGATGGGCCATAATTCCAAAACCAGTTGGTCAATATACAGAAGATACTTCCTTTTCCCACTTAGGTCCTGGAAAATTTCCTGCATTAAATGTAGTTGATGCAGCATCAGATTTGTTTTCATGCCTAGCTACATGTAAAGGCAACACTCCTAGCTACAATTTAGGGAAGTGAAGCCACAGAAAACTGCTTGAAGAACAAAAAGGCATGAACAACAGGAATTTAAACTTGGATTGGTTTAAACAAATAAACAAACAATAAAATAATCTGTTTTTAAAATCTGATTTTGACTCTGAAAATGTCTAAAGATACTACAAATGCCTATAAAACATGTATAGTCAAGTATTATACAGGTAATACAGAAAATATTCCAAAAAAGATGTGGGTAAAAAGCCATCGTTCCTGATTAGAAAGATTAGTTTAGGCTGATGGAATTAAGAGAGCAATGTTAGTAAAACAGCTTATTTTTGATCAGTAACTGCTGCTGCTGTACCTGAAAAATGCAGGGTGAGCCAAATCCTTTCATCACTTATATTTGCAGGTTCCCTCATCCAAGTTCCAAATGTTTGCTGTACAGTGACAAAGTGTACAGGGCTTCCTACAGAGGTTATGACACATTCTAGTAGAGAAAAAGCACACGTCCATTGTCTGTGACATTAAAACAGTAAGTAACAGGTAGTCACACTACGTAGCAGGTTACCAGGTTTTTTTGAAGGACCAGGGGTTCTGTCTTCAGCTTTTCCAGCCTGGGTATCATCATTCGGTACAGCACAGGTCTCCCCTAAAGTGAGAGAGAAAGGGTAAAACATGTTATTTTCTTTGTATTGGATGTGAGTGATGTGTGCACATCAGTGACTCTGCTACAATAACAGCATGACAACTAGGATTTTGTTTAATCTGGGAAAAAAGGTTAGGTTGGTCTGGTCAAAAAATGAGACAAAAAAAGACCTGCTCTCACTTCTGCCAAGGGAATGAAGTGTTTGGGCTAGTTTGTTTCCTTAAAGTTGTCAGGCTGACAGCTTTGAGAAGTAACCAATTTTGCTCAGCATATTTAATTTCTTAGAGTTGCCCCTTTCCTTAGACAACTGAGGTAGCTGGCAGCTGGCTGAGTTAGCAGCAACACCAAACATGATTTCTTGGGAATGAATGATGGCTAAACACAAGTCTCATGCTCAAATCTACACCCACCAGCAGGGGTGATGTGTTCTGTAAACAGCGCTGTGAGTGTTGCTTGTCCTGTTAATGCCCAAGACAGTAAGAATGTACTAAACACACACAGCACATAATGGTCAAGAATGCAGGTCTGTCACCCAGCCGATTAAAGAAGCAATATGAAGACTAAGGGATGTTACACACCATATTCCTTACTCATAGAGAAATTATTTGCATTAGAAACAAACACCTAGAAACATTTTCCTCCCACCCCTCAACTATTTAAAGAGTATCTGGTCATGTTTTCTTTGTGTTTACTGTTAAAAAAATTCCTTAATGAAATTATTTATGGGCCTTTCTATAAGCCCAGATACCTCTTGTGTCTTTAAAACACAAGCTTCAGTCTGCTTAGAAGGTCTAACCACAGGGAACAGTTCTCAGCTCTTAGCTGAAGATACCCTGATTTCATTTTAGCCTTGTTTTCTAATGCTATTCTGAACCTCGCATCTCCTCACACATTTCACAAGGCTTAACATGCAAACTGCAAATCCTTTTGGACACACATTTTTGTTACTGCTTTCCTGGGATTTACAGGGCTGTGTTGAAGTTTGAATCAGAAGACAGTAAAAATATTAAAGTAATACTGAAAGTGTAGTGTGACACTCAGACAAGAAAGGACAGATTATACTGCATTGTCATTTTCTCCTTTAAGTTTTATCCTCTCTTTGTTCATGCAGAAGGAAACTAGTCCATCACAGGGCAAGAACAACACGTATTTCTCCCACCCATTTACCTAAGACATCTGGTGATACAACACTCAAAGTTTGTAAGTCATCACAGCCTATCTCCAAAATAAGGCACAGTCAATCCAACCATGGGAAGGTGAATGCCTGTAGCTACAACTGACCAATCCCTCTAGATCCCTTTCCAGCTTATCTCAAAATATTATAAATATATCTAAAAAGGAACACACTCGGCAGAAACGTGAAGGTGCAATGCACAATTTTCTTAGGCTGACACTAAAACATACAGTCAACTGAGTGAGCAGTTCCCTATACAGGAGTTTATCTAAGACTAGAGAATAATCAAGCAGCAGGTCAGTGTCTGCAATGAAGCTCAGTGCACTATTTGCATTTGAAAGTATTTGCAATACCCTCTGAGGACTTTAAGCTGCACAAACCAGAAAGCAACTAACTTTAAAAAAAGACAGGTTTCAGAAACTTATATGAAAATTTCCCTGCTCTCTTTCCATCAAAAAAAAGATAAATATCCTACTGATTACTATAATAAAACAGAGTTAATGGATTTTACAAGACATTAAAACTAATAATTCTCTCTGGGGAGGGTGGGGAGGATGGAGCAAGGCAGGGATGTTTTGTTTCTTTTAGAATTAGCTCATGGTACCTTTGAGAACAAGTACATCTGACCTCCAACTAATTCTTCTCTAAAAGAAATGAAGTTTTACCTAATTCAAAATTTAATTTAAAGACACCTTTCATGTATACTTATGTAATAATTTAATTGCAGTTGCAAATCAGCATGTATTTTCTCTTTTCTTCAAAGGCATATGAATACTTAATTACAAAAGCTGTTTTATTCTTTGAATGTTGGTAGTAAGATCTCTCAGCCTACTCATTCATAAACCATAAAAATTCACTAAGGAAGACCTCCTCTTTGCAGAGTTATATTTAAATAACTCCCATTTGCACACTGGGATTTAAAATCCATCAGAAATCCATCAGCTTCTCCTCCAAAGCTCTTCAGTCTGTTTCAACACTTGTAAAGAAGCCACCTGAGTAAATGATCTGATTCTATCTTGTCCAACAGTTCCTGCATTTCTGAATTTCAAACAGGATGAGATTTCTGCTCCTACCTTCCATTATAAGGAGTCTCTCGGGGCTCTGTTCTGGTACACAGAGTCTCCTGAATGAAGTTCTTGCATGCTACTACAATTACATGCTATATTAAAAATAAGGGGTCGAAATAATTGATCTATGTTCCACCCAGTCTTAAACATTCACTAGTTAACAGCATGTATAATGATAATTTTTTAAAAGATTTTTAATCTCAGTGAACTACGCAGAATGATGGTGACATAAAAATATATGTCCCTATTAACACAGATACATACAAATTGCTCTGCTTGTTTCACACTTAATAACTTCACAAAGTTCTTGTGGTTTGTCTATCAAGAAACTACATTCTCACTTACAAAAGAAACCTCACTTTACCAAACACTGTCACAGATAACTCTCCTTTTCCAGAAATGTAAAAGAGTAGTAACTGAGACATCCCATGCTGTTCTTTCAGACAGCCACTCTGACCTCCCTGAAAACAGGCATCACAGCTGGGAGGAAAATTCATCCCAGAACTGTAGAGGTAGCAACAGCCACTGAAAGCCACAATCATTTTGAATGCAATTCCACCCAGGACAAGGACAACCAGATCCAGTCTGTAGATCCAGAAGCAAAACTTTGCTTCCATTCTGCAGAGTAAGCTAAAAGTGCAGTGCTGTTCTTGCATCAGCTTCTCTTTGCTGTCCATAATCAGCTAATACCTTGAACCAAAATTTTCCAGTTATCACAATACGTGTAGAACACGTGTTCCTGAGAATCCAAACCAACAGCTCCTCTGCTGCTAATTCTGCACTGGCCAAGAAAAAAAAAGGTCCCTCCTCCTCCCAAAAACTGGAAATTTTTTTGAGAGAGATTTTTCAGGAACATCTGATAACATTTTAAGCCAAAATTTTCAGAAATACAGCAGCTTCAGACATACATCTTGAAATACTTTTAAAACAGTGGCTGCTGATTTCCACAAAATGAGTAAGAACATCCTTGATTTCCAAGCACCAGCCTTCCCAACTCTGCCCATTCCCCACCCCCTCCCATGTGCCTGCACTAACACCAAAACACATTAGAAAAATCAAGCCCTCATTTAAGACTTCTCGTTCAAAACAGAATTGTTTAGAGCATTAGAGAGACCAAAGATCACAGAGATTACTTTTCATTTCCAATGTTCTTGAAAATGAAGTTGATTACAAAAGCTGCAAGTAATTCTGCAGAGTCTCAGTGTCCCTCTTAACCTCTTGGAAGCTATTCCCACTCCAACATGCAAAAAGAATTAAAGCCTCTCAGATAAATTCTGTTTAAAATGACATTTTTCTATGATAAATATGAACATTTGTAAAAATACAATAAGAAATGTGGTTACTGTGGTAAAGTTTTAGAATATTAAAATCACATTGACACCAAGACTTCCTTCTACAAAGTATTTAGCTATTATTAATATATTTACATCCTTATAAACTTCAGGCATGGAAAAGCATGCTCAGTAGTGTATCTGTCACTACATTCACAAAGTACACTTGTCCAGATAGCAGAGTAACTTCCAACCAGGCACCTGCAGAAGGAGGCAATATATGCCAACTTGGGATGCTACCACACAGCAGAGGATTCATTAAAAACTACACCTGGGCACATGCACACACACCTGGACTTTAGCTGAGGCACAATGTTAATCTATTTGAGAAAAAGATCTTCTAAAACATGAGTAGAAGTTGTGACATGAAACACTGACATGAGTTTTTTACAATATCAGGTTCAATCCATGAGGATTTACTGGTATCCAGCACACCCGAGAATCATACCAGAGATATCTCATGGCAGACTCTTAATCATGTCAGCACTCTAATCAGTGACTTTAAAAAGAAAAAGAAAAAAAATGTAGCAGCTGCTACACTTGAGCACATGATCTATGACCTGGTAGTCTGGATACTCCCATTTTGGCCCTAGCAGTATCTGCTGTGCAATATGCAACCACAGTATGAAGAGCATTTACCTTGATTTTAATTTTTCCTTTAAAAATGTTAGAATTAGCTGTAAATCTCACCAACACAGCTACAGTAAAGGAAATAAAAGGGTCTCATGGTCCACTTGTCTTTCGGGATACAAAAATCACAGAATGGTAGGGGTTAGAAGGGACCTCTGGAGATTATTACTACAACCCTTTTGTGCAATTTTACTGATGCCAAGAAAATTAAACAAACACATGCATACTGTTCTGTGAGACTTGGAGCCATGGATTTAATCTTCAACCTGTTTATAATACTAAAAAGCAACACTGGAAGGAACTAACCTGTGCATTTGCTGCTGTATATGTTCTCCTGAGGTTGTGCTTTACCTTTACCTTTACGTTTTCCTGGAGGTCCTGGAGGTCCAGGTGGTCCAGGGGGGCCTGGTGGCCCAGGTTCCCCTTTTGCACCTATGTACAAAGCAAAGAACAACGTCATGGACCCTGTAGGCAACCAGCAGAGAACTGTATGTGTCCATATGATGGACTTTGGGAGATCTCTAGAACAGCCTCTTTTCTTAAGAGGTTTCTGCGTGCAGAAATCTGGCATAATAAACTCAATGGGATGCTCTTGGTTAGAAGGTGAACCATATAGAACTTCAAAAGCTGCAATTCTGCAGAGTCTCAGTGTCCCTCTTAACCTCTTGGAAGTTATTCCCACTCCAACATGCAATTTTTCTGTCTTGATTATAGGCACAGTAAAGAGTTACAAAGCACTGTTGCCTTTTACTTACTGTAATTCTAAGACTTCAACTTCAGAGGCTACAGTGATGTCATTTTACAGAGCTTATATTTCTGGCTGCTTCATGTATTCCTGAGTGGAAATCTGCCCCTCATTTTCTAGTAGAAAAATAAAACTACACCACAAGACAGCAGGAGGTGGTCACCTGTCTGGCAGTGCATTGGAAAGGGTGGAACTCAAGTAAACCTCAACCCAAAGCCCAGGAAGAAAGGTTTATGTGAAGACTTGCATTAAAAAGAGAACATAACCTGGGCAGAGCAATACTCGAAAACTTCACTGTGGGTAACATGGTTATGCTCGTTGGTCCTGTTCTTGCATCACATTAATGCTTCAGAAGCAGAGTATGTTTTTGTCTGTCAAGTACAAGAGAGATCCTAAAAGCACTTCTTCCTACCTTCTAATACCACATCATTGTTTGCATCCCCTTTTTCACCCTTTGCTCCTCTTGAACCTTTTCCTCCTGGCATTCCGTCCTTACCAGGTGAACCCATTTCTCCAGGTTCTCCTTTCTCTCCTTGATCACCTTTAGGCCCTGGCATACCTAAAAGTAAAAAGCACTTCAGTACCAAGAATACTGTTCCAGTAGGAAGCATCAATCAATATACATATATATATTTTATTTTATTTTTTAATACAAACCATATTCACTCCTGCATTACAAAGTCGATCACGAAAAAAAACCAAACAAAAACCAACCTGCTCCAAGAGTTTTCAGCCTCAATGGACAATAGAGAAAGGAAGAAAAATATGGAAATAAATTGCTCCTGCAACAGTTTTTATGAATCTAGAACCAAAACTGGTTTAACATAGAACAACTTCCACCCTCAAACTGGCTTTCTTTTTTTTAAGATCTCTCAAGTCAAAGGGCCCTTATGTCAGCAGGTTAAGGGAATGGGACCCTCCTGGCAATAACAGGATTTACTAGCAAGTTCAGCACTGAGATTCAACAGGGTGCACTCAACAGCTTTAATTCTATAGTGCTTTGTACCATCTTCCTGACTGTGGAGTAAGTCTGAAGTAATCTACCAAAGCTTTGTGTAAAACAATGAATGCTACAGGATTCTGTAACGTGCAACTTCTTTGTAAACATTGAAACCTTTCCCCGTGTACAAAGGTGTAAATTATGACAGTAAGACCTGAATATAACCATAAGAAATATATTTTTTTTAACCACCAAAAAAACCCACAAAAAACGCAAAGCAAACAAACAAGAATTTAAAAAAAACAAACACCACACACAAAAAAACCCCCAACACACAAACCTGTTTTTCCTCTTTTTCCATTTACTCCTGGATCTCCCTTTTGTCCTGGTATACCTGGGACTCCATCTGATCCATTGTAGCCAGGCAGTCCATCAAGTCCAGGAGGTCCTAAACAAACCAAAGGGCATAACTGAATTTTCACTGTTATACTTAAATCTATTATATTTAGATATAGTATATTTATGTGTGTGCATATATATATTCCTTAGACATACAATTTCCTCTATTTGACCATTATGTTCTCCATGCAGATAGAATGTGTTCCTTAAAAAAAAACTTACCCCAAAAAACCAAACAAACAAACCCCACTCACCACCAAACCAAACAATACAATCAAAAAACACCTACTCCACAATAACAGCAAAAAAAGAACTGTGAAATCAAAGACATGTTTTTGCCCCAGTCTCAGCATAAGAAAACTGACTGAAATTCATACTGCACACAATTTGCATTAAGGCCAGCACAGATCAGCTGTTTGGATTCCACTTCAGGGACTATCACAGTGAGACACATCCTATTTCTGAGTTTGGCAGTGACTGTAACATCTTTGAGAAGCCACATAAAGTTTAATGTTGCTTATCATATTGGCTGAACTAATCTAACACAAGAAAAGCATTTTACCTACTTGCCCAAAACACTGCAGTTCCAAATCATGATTGGTACAGAAGACATCACTCCTTCCTAGCTGCTTTTTGAACCCCCACAAACAAGTAGTACATGATACTTTTCTGATAGAATTATTCTAAGCAAACCCACAGCTAAAGGAGCATGGGAGAAAGCAAGTAAGCATTCATATAGCCTAGCAACCACATGAGAGAGAGCAGAAAGAGAGAACTAAATAAGGAAGAAGGGAAATTTATGCGAGAGGTGGGAGGGTGGAATCAGTAACCAACAGTTTCTAAAGAGAGCTTTCTAATGTTAAATTATAGTATCAGTTTACTCGTGGGTTTATATTTATATATATACTCATCTCTTACCCTAAATGCTAGTTAAACACTCCAAATTAATTCCATAAAATATTATAGCAAATGTGAAGCTATTCTATTCCTTCCACTAGAAAAGTGTAATGCCTAAAACCTCCTCCCTCTCAGAAGGGGCACAAGTTCACCTCAACAAAGGCAGGGAGTCATTCAGTCCTTCCTCATTGTAATTAGCAAAGGAATTGTAGTTTGTAGTTCTACAAAAGATACATGTCTACATTTCAAACATTTTGCACCAGCAACTCCTTAAATTACCCCAAAACGTTACCGCAATTGTCAAAGTGTCTTACCTGGGGGACCTGGGGGACCTACAACAAGGACATGCAAAAGAACACAGGAAAGAAGAAATTGTGAGTATAATCTTAAGGAAACAAAAATAAAATCCACGTTGAATTGATTAGCATTAGATCAGAACAGTAAATGAGGAGGAAAGCCCCTCAAATTTCGAAGTGAACACCTATGAATTTAATTGTTTTGTATCAGAAATAACTGTTTAAGCATTAGTAGAAGCTCTGACTTACTGAAAGACTATCCTTAAAAGAATTACATATACACATATGTTTTGCCTTTTGCAAATTCCACATGATAAAGGTTTGACAAACAACCACCTCTACAGTGCAATCTCACTGTCGGGTGCCTTGGCACTGCCAGGGGTGCAAGGCATCCAACAGTCATTACATTTCCTTTAGATAAGTGTTCTACAAGCTCCTGTTATAGTACAAGCATAATAGCTTTACAACACTGATGAATGTCACAGTTAAAAATCCTGTTGAAGATACACACTAAAAATACATGCTACACCTCTGTGTTTTACTAATGTTTCATTGCAGCTCAGGATTCAGGCTATTTAAATAGGGGGGAAAAAAAAAAAAAAAAAAAAAAAAAAAAGTCTTTTCACTCCTAAACTACCACCAGGCTTTTCACAGGTAATTGTTCTCCAGGCTGGACTAAGCTCTCCACAGAACCTAGTTGGAGTGTTAGAAATTGGCCTTGCTTCAGTCACTCAGCAACACACAATACAATAAAATTTCTGACTTTGTGCAAGTACAGGGCCTTAATGAGCTAAAAAGCACAGCAGGCAAGAGTAAAACAGAAACTGTGTCTATAACAAGATCTATCTTACCTGATACCAACACATTTTTAAAAATAAACAAAAAACCCTAAACAAACCCAAAAACCCACAACCCAACAAAACCAAAACAAACACAAAAAACCCCAAACAAACAGGAAAGTGGGTTAGAAGAATACAAAGCAAGATGGTGGTTGCAATTAAAGAACCAAGTTAGTTCTGTGAACATTTTTATCCAGTCAACAAAGTATTGCTTATTTCAACAAAACTCTTTATAACAGAAAATAACAGTAATTACTACTTTTCCCTAATGATGACTATTTTCAGCATTAATTAGAAAGCATTATGAGCAAAGTGAAAACCTTTTCACAGTACCACTACAGCAATTATCCCTTTTAATCATTACAGGCAGTAACATCAGTTAACATCTTTCTGCCAGTTTTCCAGTAAATGGCCATTTTTTCCACACTAAATGTTATGTCCATTAGTGTGGTCAATTACTCACTCATCTCAAAAACTGAGGATCTTGATTATCCTTGTATAAAAATAAGATAAATAAGAAAGATGCTTGAAAAGTAGCAAATGCCACAGAGGTCTAGAGCAGAGCAAGCTAGTATTAAAAAAGCATTGTGTCAAGAACAAAAAAAGGTGCAGAAGGCACCAAGTAGCATGAATTCAGAAGTCTGGAAGACAAAGAAACAAGCTTTTAAGCTGTCTGTGGTTCAGCCTCAGTCACAATCAGAACTGACCTACAATTTCAGAAGTATTCTCTAACATCCCTGTGTACTGCAGTAATTCTCATTTATGCTGAAATCGCTGAACCAAACAGACCTTTACAGCCATCTGATAATACAAACCACACAACAAGTGTTTTCTTTGTATCACAAGAGGCGGCTTATTTCTATTCTTCTCATTCCCAAAACCAACACACGACTCAATCTGTTACAAATTTCAAAGCTGGACCATAGCCCTTAAATTGGCTACCACCTGCCATTCTCTTCACCAAATCACAGAGCCTTCTCACATCTCCTCTTGCCCCAGCCACTCCCCAGTAATGTGTAAAACTCAAGGTCCTGTTACTGTGGTTCAAGGTGGGGAAAAAAACACTTTGCTCATCCAAGTTCCACTATTCCAGAGCAGTTACAATAGAAGGAATTTTCTATGCCCTGTATGTTCATCCTGTATGAGCCTGGAAGTCTGGGGACATACACCAAAATACCAAGACTAACCTGCAATTAGTATTTTAAACACTCAAGTGAATGTTTAAAAAAATCACATAAGAAATGTCTCCAAGTAACATCAACTCAGCTCCTTAAATTCCAGCATTTTTTATAAGTAGGGATAGGTAAGTCCCAAAATAGCACCTATTGTCTTTTTTATAAATAAATAACCCAGTTAACGGGCAAAATCTTGCACACAGCATAATTCTTTGACAGAGCCATTGACTTGAAGTTCTTTGAAAACTTTGCCACGTGGTGTTCTTGAAAATAAGGCAGGTGCAGTGCTGAAGGCAAGAAACATACCTGTTAAGCATATCCCTTTTGTGCTGTTACATAAATCCACCAGGACTCGGACCTAACGTTGCAAAGAAAGTGAAGTTGAAAACAATCAAGCCATAAAAGTACCTAGTTTACTTTGCCTACAGAGGGGAATAATCTGGAATAATCTGGAAAACAAAGACACAGCTCTCCACTCTGCACCGATATGAATAAACTATTTAGAACTACCTTAGGGTAGTGACACCATCCATCTCTTGAGGCAGTGACTGTCTTACAGCAATCTGTTCCACATATCTCATTTTAAAACTTACTGAACACATGCAGAAAATAGTGGCCCGGCAACTACAGACATCATCTAGGCATTAAAGTTCACATGTTACTGTAAAATGTGCAGTTGTCCATGCACTGACTCTAGTAGTGGATGGTGTTAAAAGCCAACAGCCAATTAAAATTACATTTAATTTTATTTTTAATGTATATCAAATTATGGATACTTTTCCAGCTTTACATATCCAGTGAGAAGCTGAGCTATGTTCCAAGAAAGAGATTTCTATCTTGGAATAACCCACATTTGCAAATTTGGAATGGACCTTCATCCATTCAAAACACTCCATTCCAACAATGCCAGACTTTATAAAAAACAAGCTAGAAGAGACATGAATACAGATGCTTTTAATCTAGAGTAGACCAAAATGTATCAATACAAGTAATTTTTACAAAATATATAGGTTTTTGCTGGGCAAATATTCACGACATGTGTCCTGAATGCTGACAGCTAACACTCTAAAATGTTTTGCAACTCATCAAAAGATCCAGCAGAACTGAGAATATTGAGAACGTGAGCACTGGAAGTGCCTCAGTTCCTCATAGGAAAGCCTAATGTTTATTGTCAGAAAAGAAAAAGATTATTATTTCAGGGCTACAAAATATATGATAATTTATTAACATATTTGCCCAGAGTTGCACATTATTCATCTTGGTACAATTACTCTACTTACAAACAGAACAAGTGCAAGTCAATCTGAAAGGCAGAATGATGTGTAATCCTAGCAAGGTTATTTGCCACTATCAGTCTTTATTTTTTAAGCTAATACATTATTAGCAAGCATCAAATCTAACAGACTCAAATAAAAGAAGATTCTTTTTTTGCAAAATCAAACTGTATTTGACTGTGAATTTCAATTTGGTCAGATATTGAGAACTTACTGGATTCTTGACTGCACTGGAACAGCTATTATATTTAGAAGTTTTGGATCCAATTTAAGGTAGCTGAGAAGAGCTAACTGGTTTTGAGTACCATAATTTGCTTGTTCTCTTTCCCCTCACACCCTGCAAAAGCACTTGGCTTCTACCCTGTAATTTTGTAAAATACACATTGTCCACATATGCTCTAATTCAGATTGCATTTTAATCTAAATGGCTTTGTTGAGGTTGCAGAGGTGAATACAACTTGCCTTGGGGCCTTCCCATTACCTCAGCAGCACTGGTTGTACCAATCAGTGCAACTCAGGTGACAATTTAAAAACATGGCACTCAAAAAGTGAGTGTGTTATAACAAATACCCTACAATAGAACCTTCCATTTCACTATGAAAGGTGAGTACACCTGTCATCCAAACAGCCCTTTGCCATGAAGAAAAGCTACAGCTAGAAGTATTTCTTTAAATACTAAAAGCTCAGCTTCCTCATAACGATAGGGCGTAAAAAGAAATCTATGGCACCAAGGTGCAAAAATCTGGGCCCCCACCTCACTCTGCTTCCTGGAAGGACAGGATCCATTTCCAAGAAACACGGTGAAGCAACACCCAGCACCTCACGGGAGATGCTGAACAGCAGAAAACCCAGGGCAGGGCTTGGTTAGCAGTGCAAGGATTGAAAGCCTGAACCCTGGGACACCGGGAGGCTTTTTATTGCAACTGAAGTTTTGAAGCGTCATCACATCCACGCCGCTAAAAGGGAACTTCACTCTAAGACCTCAGCTCGGCTGTCCCACGGCCCCATCTCCGAGGCCCACAGGCAGGCACCGCGGGCCGGCACCGCCGGCCTCCCACCCTCGCCCCGCACC